GAGAAACAGAGGACGACTCAGAGAGAGAGGGGGCGACTTTCAGAGAGACAGAGGACGACTCAGAGAGAGAGAAGGAGAGCGACTCTCAGAGAGGCAGAGGACGACTCAGAGAGAGAGGGGGCGACTTTTATTGAGAGAGAGGACGACTCAGAGAGAGAGGGGGCGACTCTCGGAGAGAGAGGACGACTCCGAGAGAGAGGACGACTCCGAGAGAGAGGACGACTCCGAGAGAGAGGGCGACTCAGAGAGAGAACCACAGACGAGGACCGGGAAGGCAGCAGCAGTCACGTGGTGGTGGTGGTGAGGAGCCGGCACTTAACCGACGATTGTCCAAGCTCTGCAACCCTTTATATATTTTATTCTTGGTTCTTTCGATAAAGTCACGTAGAAGGGAAACAATAAAATAATATATTCTCAAGGTGGTATCGGCCCAATTAATGATGAGTGTTTATACACGTAGGGGGTGGAAACCGGAGCACACGGAGAAAACCCACGCGTGCGAGGGGGCAACGCTCTATCCCAGCGGTCGGCAACTTGCTGCATGCGGTGGCTCTTCAAGGACTGCTCCGTGACGCCGTTATTGACTCAACTAAACGTAGTTTATTTTCCCAGGTAAGGCCCCACTAAGCTGCTATGTAGATATTTTTCAGAAGCGACCTGGCGATTTCAAATGATCGTGCAACGAAGTGGCTTGTAATCTTAATCATCATCATCACGTGCAAATGTTTAAGCAGCCAAAGACTCTAAACGCGTGACGTCCGTTCTAAATGTGGAGGAAAAATAACCGGAGGACCCGAAAATAAATCCACGCGACCACGGGAAGAGAGAGACACCGCAAACTCCAATAATATGGGCATCAGGGTTGGGATCGAGCCCACGAACTCCTGAAAACCAGGCGAGGCAGTTAGCATCTCGCCACCGTCTGGTATTCGCGTACATTGCAGCTCTTGCAATGTCTCCTCTCCCTGTGACTTGGGCTGCCGACCCCTGCTCTGTGTCGCCCTCTCCTGGCAAGCCCAGGGGGTACGGCTCCTCTTCGGCGAGACGGGAGGGAGTGTCGCAACATCAGCGGTGCGTGCCGTGATCCACCAACCCCTCGCTGCTGCCTCCACAGCACTACTAGATCACAGGCGTGTGCGCCACCCGCAGGCTCAGGCACGGCGTGTGGAAATTCCACATTGCCATGGCGGGTGCGCAGTCCATCCGCGGAACCACCGCCGTTGATGACTTCCGAAAAAGTGCAATGTTTCGAAGATGATGTCGATGACGAAGATCAGATTGACGATGTTGATAATGATGCCGATGCTACTGCAGCTGATGTCGTTGCTGCTGTTGCCTCTGCTACTGTCGCTGATGATGACGATGACAATGCTGCTGCTGATGATGATAGACTAATATTGAAGTTCTCATTGCAGATCAAGACGTATTTAACCACAGCACCTGTCCACAGGAACTTATTGAGGTCCCTTCGTACCCGTGGCAATTGGCCATTCCGTGTCTGTGTCACGGTCAAAATTGGACAATGCCTCGACTAGGATCTCAAGACAAAGACAAAGATCCCCGTATAGCCTTGAACGGGCTGTTGAGGCAAGTGCTGTCAGCGAGCAGCACTGATGAAGGGTCGGCACTGTGGCACACGAGGGGGGTTGGGGGTGGCCAGCACCACCCCGGCCGTCTTTGTCTCCCCAGTGGCGATGTTTACTACACCCCGCACCAGGTAACTCGTATGACGCTGAGTCGACATGGGGGAGGTTCAGGGACCGAATCATCATTGGGAAATTTGCCCGATGATGCTGATGCTGGATCGAATTACCAGCGAAACGTCGTACTCAAAAGTGTAAATGATGTTGATTCACTCTTCAACACACCAGTGGGCTAAAGTAGTGAACTATTTGTCTTTTGTTAACGTGACACATGTTTTACTGTTTGGCCGTGTCGGGTGGTGGAGGGTTACGACACGTTTATAAATAACGCGATTAAACCCAAAAACCTTTATTATAAAGAATAATAATAATGTGTGCATTGTCCTCGAAACTGACTGGTCTGCACCAGAACCACAGCCTCCTTCATGTCCATGTCTCACCACCGGTGTTAGATCATAGAGCAACGCCAACACGTGACTAGCCCAAGGACAATATCAAAGCATAATAAATATTGATAATGAATTCAGAAAGTTATTAAGCAATTCATTAATTAATGCATTCATTAATTGATCAACTATGGGATGAATCGACTGGCCCTGCCAGCCCAAGTCGAGTCAGCTCCCGCTCACTTTGAATGTGGTTTGACCCCATGTAATCGATTCGTGTTGCTTGCAGTTCTACGGAGTTGGTGGTCTGGATAAAGCTGAGAACACTCAATGCTGCACTCATTTCTGTGTGTGGTGTAGCGGTGGCCTGCGAGCCTCCTGCACGAGATTGGCTTGTGGAGGAGGAGGCTCGCCAAGGGATACTCATCGGCAGTGCCAGGCTACGTGCATTTGAGGCTATTGGGCAGCTGTAAGGCAGTCTCTCTCCAATGACAGCGGAGGGCTGAGGAGCAGACGCTCACAACAACGAGCGGACTGCCGGGCGGATACAACTCTACAAGTTGGTGTAGTAGGGAGCACAGGTGGTGCATCTGCCAGTCATGTCAGTCAGTCAACCCCATAGCGGCTGGGTCTGTCCCTTGACCTCCTGCACCTAGCCTGGCACATCAGTCAACCCATAGCACCTGGGTCTGTCCCGTGACCTCCTGCCCCTAGCCTGGCACAGCAGTCAACCCATAGTACCTGGGTCTGTCCCGTGAACTCCTGCACCTAGCCTGGCACAGCAGTCAACCCATAGGATCTGGGTCTCTCCCGTAACCTCCTCCTGCACCTAGCCTGGCACATCAATCAACCCGTAGCACCTGGGTCTGTCCCGTGACCTCCTGCACCTAGCCTGGCACATCAGTCAACCCGTAGTACCTGGGTCTGTCCCGTGACCTCCTGCACCTAGCCTGGCACATCAATCAACCCGTAGCACCTGGGTCTGTCCCGTGACCTCCTGCACCTAGCCTGGCACATCAGTCAACCCGTAGTACCTGGGTCTGTCCCGTGACCTCCTGCACCTAGCCTGGCACATCAGTCAACCCATAGCACCTGGGTCTGTCCCGTGAACTCCTGCACCTAGCCTGGCACATCAGTCAACCCATAGCACCTGGGTTTGTCCCGTGACCTCCAACTGCACCTAGCCTGGCACAGCAGTCAACCCATAGCACCTGGGTCTGTCCTGTGACCTCCTCCTGCATCTAGCCTGGCACATCAGTCAACCCATAGCACCTGGGTCTGTCCCGTGACCTCCAACTGCACCTAGCCTGGCACAGCAGTCAATCCATAGCACCTGGGTCTGTCCCGTGACCTCCTGCACCTAGCCTGGTACAGCAGTCAACCCGTAGCACCTGGGTTGTCCCGTGATCTCCTGCATCTAGCCTGGCACAGCAGTCAACCCGTAGCACCAGGGTCTGTCCCGTGACCTCCTGCACCTAGCCTGGCACATCAGTCAACCCGTAGCACCTGGGTCTGTCCCGTGACCTCCTGCACCTAGCCTGGCACAGCAGTCAACCCATAGCACCTGGGTCTGTCCTGTGACCTCCTCCTGCATCTAGCCTGGCACATCAGTCAACCCATAGCACCTGGGTCTGTCCCGTGACCTCCTGCACCTAGCCTGGCACAGCAGTCAACCCATATCACCTGGGTCTGTCCCGTGACCTCCTCTTGCACCTAGCCTGGCACATCAGTCAACCCATAGCACCTGGGTCTGTCCCGTGACCTCCTCCTGCACCTAGCCTGGCACAGCAGTCAACCCATAGCACCTGGGTCTGTCCCGTTACCTCCTTCACCTAGCCTGGCACAGCAGTCAACCCATAGCACCTGGGTCTGTCCTGTGACCTCCTCCTGCACCTAGCCTGGCACAGCAGTCAACCCATGGCACCTGGGTCTGTCCCGTGACCTCCTCTTGCACCTAGCCTGGCACAGTAGTAAACCCATAGCACCTGGGTCTGTCCCGTGACCTCCTCCTGCACCTAGCCTGGCACAGCAGTCAACCCGTAGCACCTGGGTCTGTCCCGTGGCCTCCTCCTGCACCTAGCCTGGCACAGCAGTCAACCCATAGCACCTGGGTCTGTCCTGTGAGCTCCTCCTGCATCTAGCCTGGCACATCAGTCAATCCATAGCACCTGGGTCTGTCCCGTGACCTCCTCCTGCACCTAGCCTGGCACAGCAGTCAACCCATAGCACCTGGGTCTGTCCCGTTACCTCCTGCACCTAGCCTGGCACAGCAGTCAACCCATAGCACCTGGGTCTGTCCTGTGACCTCCTCCTGCACCTAGCCTGGCACAGCAGTCAACCCGTAGCACCTGGGTCTGTCCCGTGACCTCCTCCTGCACCTAGCCTGGCACAGCAGTCAACCCGTAGCACCTGGGTCTGTCCCGTGACCTCCTCCTGCACCTAGCCTGGCACAGCAGTCAACCCGTGGCACCTGGGTCTGTCCCGTGACCTCCTCCTGCACCTAGCCTGGCACAGCAGTAAACCCATAGCACCTGGGTCTGTCCCGTGACCTCCTGCACCTAGCCTGGCACAGCAGTAAACCCGTAGCACCTGGGTCTGTCCCGTGACCTGCACCTAGCCTGGCACAGCAGTAAACCCATAGCACCTGGGTCTGTCCCGTGAACTCCTGCACCTAGCCTGGCACAGCAGTCAACCCATAGCACCTGGTCGTGTCCCGTAGCCCCGAGTTCGATTCCCGCCCACGGCCACCAACAACACCGGTGCCGATTATCTGAACCTGTTCGGTGCGGAAACATCGCCACTGAGGAGACAAAGGTGGTCGAGCGGCGGGCGGCCCGAACCTTTCATCGGGTAACTCTGCCAACAGCACTTGCCCCAACAGCCTATCGAGACTACACCGGGGGTGGGGGGGGGCACCTTGTCTTTGTGCGCGCGCGCGTGCGAGCGAGTGACAAGCGGCCGCGCGACTCACGTCGGCCGCCTTCTTCTCCGCCTGCTCCAGCTTCTCCTGCGCATCCTTGAGCGCCGTGGAGTACTTGTCCAGTTCATCCTCCGTGCCCTTGAGCTTCTTCTGCTGCGCCTGCAGCTCGTCCTCCACCTGCGGCAGGGACACGGCGACGAGGTGTGAGCGAGGTTGTTCGTGGCGAGGATGATGCCACGTACATGGTTTGGTTTAATAAAAGTAAACTTGATCTCAAACAGAAATGAATGCGCAATGGGTGGGTGAACGAATGTTAAGTGTTAATTAGGGGGTGGGGGTCACGTGATATTTGGACCACCTTGTACCCATCACACACACAGGTGATGTACTCAACACACACACACAGGTGATGTACTCAACACACACACACACAGGTGATGTACTCAACATACACACACACAGGTGATGTACTCAACACACACACACAGGTGATGTACTCAACATACACACACACAGGTGATGTACTCAACATACACACACAGGTGATGTACTCAACACACATACACACAGGTGACGTACTCAACACACACACAGGTGATGTACTCAACATACACACACACACACACACAGGTGATGTACTCAACACACACACACAGGTGATGTACTCAACATACGCACACACAGGTGATGTACTCAACACACACACAGGTGATGTACTCAACATACACATACACAGGTGATGTACTCAACATACACACACAGGTGATGTACTCAACACACACACACACAGGTGATGTACCCAACATACACACACACAGGTGATGTACTCAACACACACACACACGTGATGTACTCAACACACACACACAGGTGATGTACTCAACATACACACACACAGGTGATGTACTCAACATACACACACAGGTGATGTACTCAACATACACACACACACAGGTGATGTACTCAACACACACAGGTGATGTACTCAACATACACACACACAGGTGATGTACTCAACATACACACAGGTGTGATGCGCTCAACACGCCGAGCCACGCACGCTGTGAGCCTTCTCCTCCGCCGCCTTCTTGTCCGTCTCGGCCTGCTCGGCCCGGTCGATGGCGTTCTCCTTATCCGCCTTCAGCATCTGCATCTTCTTCTTGATGGCTTCCATCGCGGCGCTCTCTCCGTTCACTCGCCCCTACGAACTCGTGGAAACAGCTTCAGCACGGGCACACGCGGACGGCGGCGGCTGCGGCGTTGGTGACAACAGCGAGCGACGGGGCGAGTGAGTGAGTGAGAGAGACGGGAGAGTGGACGACCCCTTGTGAGTCACACACACACACCCCGATGGCTCTGCAACCCCCCCCCCCCCCCCCCCCCCCCGTGACCAGGGCTGTAAGCTTATACCCGTTTGCTGAATAGTGGTCTATTGGCAAATGGGGATCCCTTTTTCGGTCCGATGGGATGGGAAGGGGGACGAGACACTGGGGGGTGGGAGACGGGGGGTGTAAGTGACCTCCGAAAGAGCTATTTTAGTACCTGCTGCTGCTGGTTGTGACGTTTCGGAGCAAGTGTTGGAGGAGGCCACGTGGCGAGCGCTTTGCTGAGATTGTCGGTGGCCCCAGGCTCCTTGAGAGGATCGCCAACGGCACTCAGCTCATGCTGTGTCCGCAGCCACTCGCACACATCGATACATACAGCCACACACACAGCCATCCACACAGCCACACACAGCCACACAGCCACACACACACACACAGCCACACAGCCACACACACAGCCACCCACACAGCCACCCACACAGCCACCCACACAGCTACACACACAGCCACTCATCACACACACACAGACACTCGTCACACACACACAGACACTCATCATACACACATTGAACCATCCACACACAGCCACTCATTCATCCACACACACAGCCACTCATCCATCTACGCACACAATCATCCACACAGCCACACACACACAGTCATCTATGTAGCCACACACACAGCCACTCATTCATCCACACACACAGCCACTCATCCATCCACACACAGAGCCACTGACCCATCCACACAGCCACACACACACACAGCCATATATACAGCCACCCATACAGCCACTCATCCATCCACACACAGAGCCACTGACCCATCCACACATACAGCCACTCATCCATCTACGCACGCAGCCATCCACCCATCACACACAGCCACCCATCACACACAGCCACTCATCACACACAGCCACCCATCACACACAGCCACCCATCACACACAGCCACCCATCACACACAGCTACCCATCACACACAGCCACCCATCACACACAGCCACCCATCACACACAGCCTGCGTGTGCCACGTGTGCCGGTGTGACTCGATTGTTGTGAGCGCCACAACTGAGTTGCACCCATCCACTCATCACTGCCCTCCGCTCTCTCCCCCTATCCACCCACCACTCCACCCACTACTCCACCCACTACTCCACCCATCACTTCACCATGCACCCATCACTCCTCCAACCACCAATTCGCCCATCACTCCACCCACCACTCCACCCACCACTCCACCATGCAACCATCACTCCTCCACCCACCACTCCACCCACCACTCCACCCATCACACCTCATGCCCCCATCACCCCTCCACCCATCTCAACTAAAATTAAGCGTTTTATTTTCATTTAGAGCTCTTTTTCAGAAGCGACCTGGCCACAAATGATAGATCAACGAAGTGGCTTATCATCCTCACATGGAAATTTATAGCAGCCAAATACTCTAAACGCGTAATGTTGATTCTAAACGTGGAGGGAAACACCGGAGGACCTGAAAACATATCCATGCGAACACGGGGAGAATATGCACACTCCAAATATATAGGCGTCAGGATCAGGATCGAACCCACGTCCTCCTGCATACCAGGCGAGGGAGTTAACATCTCCTAGCCACCACGGCGCCCGATCCACCATGCACCCATCTCTCCACCTACCACTCCACCCACCACCCCCACCATGCACCCATCACTCCACCCACCACTCCACCCACCACCCCACCATGCACCCATCTCTAAACTCACCATGTACCCATCTCTCCACCCGCCACTCCACCCACCACCCCACCATGCACCCATCACTCCACCCACCACTCCACCCACCACCCCACCATGGACCCATTACTCCACCCACCACTCCACCCACCACCCCACCATGCACCCATCTCTCCACCCACCACTCCACCCACCACCCCACCATGCACCCATCTCTCCACCCACCACTCCACCCACCACCCCACCATGCACCCATCACTCCACCCACCACTCCACCCACCACTCCACCCACCACTCCACCCACCACCCCACCATGCACCCATCTCTAAACTCACCATGCACCCATCTCTCCACCCACCACTCCACCCACCACCCCACCATGCACCCATCACTCCACCCACCACTCCACCCACCACCCCACCATGCACCCATCACTCCACCCACCACTCCACCCACCCACCACTCCACCCACCACCCCACCATGCACCCATCACTCCACCCACCACTCCACCCACCACCCCACCATGTACCCATCTCTAAATTCACCATGCACCCATCTCTCCACCCACTACTCCACCCACCACCCCACCATGCACCCATCTCTCCACCCACCACTCCACCCACCACCCCCACCATGCACCCATCTCTTCACCAGGAACCCATTACTGCACCCATCACTCCATAATGCACCCATCATCACTCCACCCACCACTCCACCCACCCATCACTCCACCCACCACTCCACCCACCACTCCACCCACCACCTCACCATGCACCCATCTCTCCACCCACCACTCCACCCACCACCCCACCATCCACCCATCTCTCCACCCACCACTCCACCCATCTCTCCACCCACCACTCCACCCACCACCCCACCATGCACCCACCACTCCACCCACCACTCCACCCACCACCCCACCATGCACCCACCACTCCACCCACCACTCCACCCACCACCCCACCATGCACCCATCTCTTCACCCATCTCTCCACCCACCACCCCACCATGCACCCATCACTCCACCCATCTCTCCACCCACCACTCCACCCACCACCCCACCATGCACCCACCACTCCCCCCACCACCCCACCATCCACCCACCACTCCACCCACCACTCCACCCACCACCCCACCATGCACCCACCACTCCACCCACCACTCCACCCACCACCCCACCATGCACCCATCTCTCCACCCACCACTCCACCCACCACCCCACCATGCACCCATCTCTCCACCCACCACTCCACCCACCACTCCACCCACCACTCCACCCACCACCCCACCATCCACCCATCTCTCCACCCACCACTCCACCCATCTCTCCACCCACCACTCCACCCACCACTCCACCCACCACCCCACCATGCACCCATCTCTTCACCCACCTCTCCACCCACCACCCCACCATGCACCCATCACTCCACCCATCTCTCCACCCACCACTCCACCCACCACCCCACCATGCACCCACCACTCCACCCACCACCCCACCATGCACCCACCACTCCACCCACCACTCCACCCACCACCCCACTATGCACCCACCACTCCACCCACCACTCCACCCACCACCCCACCATGCACCCATCTCTCCACCCACCACTCCACCCACCACCCCACCATGCACCCATCTCTCCACCCACCACTCCACCCACCACTCCACCCACCACTCCACCCACCACCCCACCATCCACCCATCTCTCCACCCACCACTCCACCCATCTCTCCACCCACCACTCCACCCACCACCCCACCATCCACCCATCTCTCCACCACTCCACCCACCACTCCACCCACCACTCCACCCACCACCCCACCACGCCCCCATCATCAGCTCCACAGTCAGATCCCCGTGTTGCTGGCCACGCAACCTCCGGTGTATTTATTTATTTATTATTGTCGGCCGCGGCGAGCGGAATGAGCGCGGAGAGGCAGAGGGGGGGGGGCTGGTGGGGGGGGAGAACCCAGAACAACCCAGGGGCAACTTCATTAGCGAGCAAACATCTGTTTATACCAGAGCCCCCCCCCCCCCCAGTTCACTCCCCCCCCCCCCACTTCTCTTCTCCCTGTCCTGTCAAGGGGCAGCCGACACGAGATTCACTTTCGCACCGCAGACCCCACAGCGCGCGTTCCCCGCGCGCAAATAAAGATTTCGTTGACTTGCCGCTCCGCGAAAATCAAATGCCCCGTTAAGTCACTCAGCAACGGTGTTGTCTCGGCGTGGTGCGGCGATTACAGAGACCTCCCTCCCTCTCACTTCCAGTCCTACAGAGATCTGTCTCTCTCTCTTCCTAACTCTCTCCCTATCCTACTACATCTCTCTCTCTTCCTAACTCTTTCCCTGTCCTACTACAGATATCTCTCTCTTCCTAACTCTTTCCCTGTCCTACTACAGATATATCTCTCTATCTTCCTAACTCTCTCCCTGTCCTACTACATCTCTTTCTCTCTTCCTAACTCTCTCCCTGTCCTACTACAGATATCTCTCTCTTCCTAACTCTCTCCCTGTCCTACTACAGATATCTCTCTCTTCCTAACTCTTTCCTTGTCCTACTACAGATATCTCTCTCTCTTCCTAACTCTCTCCCTGTCCTACTACAGAGATCTCTCTCTCTTCTTAACTCTCTCCCTGTCCTACTACATCTCTCTCTTCCTAACTCTCTCCCTGTCCTACTACATCTCTCTCTTCCTAACTCTCTCCCTGTCCTACTACAGATATCTCTCTCTCTTCCTAACTCTCTCCTTGTCCTACTACAGATATCTCTCGCTCTTCTTAACTCTCTCCCTGTCCTACTACAGATCTCTCTCTCTTCTTAACTCTCTCCCTGTCCTACTACAGATATCTCTCTCTTCTTAACTCTCTCCCTGTCCTACTACAGAGATCTCTATCTTCCTAACTATCTCCCTGTCCTACTACAGAGATCTCTCTCGTCCTAACTCTGTCCCTGTCCCACTACAGAGATCTCTCTCTTCCTAACTCTCTCACTGTTCTAGTACAGAGATCTCTCCTTCTATCTTCTTAACTCTCTCCCTGTCCTACTACATCTCTCTCTCTCTTCCTAACTCTCTCCCTGTCCTACTACAGATATCTCTCTCTTCCTAACTCTCTCCCTGTCCTACTACAGAGATCTCTCTCTTCTTAACTCTCTCCCTGTCCTACTACAGAGATCTCTCTTCCTAACTCTCTCCCTGTCCCACTACAGATATCTCTCTCTTCTTAACTCTCTCCCTGTCCTACTACAGAGATCTCTCTCTCTCTCTCTTCCCAACTCTCTCCCTGTCCTACTACAGATATCTC